TTGGCTGCACATTAGAATCACCTGGGAATCTTTTTAAAATCCTGATTTCTGGGCCTCATCCTCCAGAAATTCTGTTTCTTTGTTATGGGGTGGGACCACAACATGAGTCACAAACAGAATTTCCGGAGGACGAGGCCCAGGAATCAGGATTTTAAAAAGATTCCCAGGTGATTCTAAGGTTGAGAACCACTGATCTAGCTTAACACACCTTGGAAATAAGCATAGCCCCCCTTAAGAGGACACATGAACTCTTCTGCAATTCAATCTCCACCTTGCTTTCTCCCACGTGCATGCATTCGTCCTTAAATCCCTCCTCAAGTCCCAGTGCAATAAAGGAACCGCCAAACTGTCATTCTCCAGAGACTCGGAGACCTTGCTTCCCGGCAACTGCCGTCAGCTGGGCTCAGAGACACTCTAATAAAAAGCGTCTGGACGTTTCTTACGTCAACACAGCAGAGAGCACAGGGTACCTTCCCTCGGCGACCATGGAAACAGGAACAAACACGTCCAGGTTATTAGAGCTGAGGCTCCAGATGGGCTTCCAGCCCAGCCCTGCACATGGAGGTGATGGTGCGCATTCGCTGAACGTGTCACCCCTGCGTGTGGCCAGGCTCCGGCCATCAAAACCCCGGTCCTCTTCGCTCCCGGCTCCTGCAGGGAGCACGCAGGGCCTGGCCTCCACCAGGCAGGGCCCTGGGCCTCGCACCCTAGCTTCTCCCGCACCGCTGGCTGGAGACCCCACAGGAACTCGGCTGCAGGAGGAATGGTGAGCCTGGCCCTGGGCAAGGCCCAAAGGGTGGCTCCCGGCGGGATCTGCTGCCCTCGTGTGGCCATCCCGGCTCAGCGCTCACAGGAGGAGAAACTGGCAAATGGAGTCCCTTGGAAAGGCGAAGTGGTAAAGGACAGCAGAACTGAAACCCACTGGACGAAAGCAGCAGCCTTCCTGGGGGCCGCCTCCAGCCTTTGGTCCCGGGACCCCTTTCCACTCCTAAAAGTTATTGAGGCCCCAGCAGGTGTGGCTCAGTGGATAGAGCAATGGCCTGGGGACTGATTCTTGGCCTTTGTTGGGGAGCGGGCTTTTTGGGGCCCCTCAGGTGCTCAGGTGCCGAGTCCTCAGGCACCGGTGTCTCTGGCCAGCTCCGTGCTGCTGTTCGTTTTGCCAGCCCAGTCCCCTTGGGTCTGACTTGTGCTTCTGGAAATGAAAAATTCTTTCAGGGAACCAGACTCCCAGGCCCTGGAGACTGAGTCTTTTCTTTTTTTAAAAATGCCCAGTCCCCTTGGGTCTGACTTGTGCTTCTGCAAACGAAAAATTCTTTCAGGGAGTTGACTCCCAGGCCCTGGAGACTGAGTCTTTTCACTTCTGCATCTCCTCACAGCCTGAAATACACACTTATCTGTCATCCCCCCCATTAACCCCCAACCTCCCCCCGCTCCCGCCTCGCACACTCATGCTCCCATCCCCCTGGGAGACTGAGTCATTTCACATCTGCATCTCCTCACGGCCTGGAATACACACTTATCTATAAGTTCCCTGATGTAAATCCACCCATTTCCTCCTGAATCCAGAGCAGACCGTGCCACAGTGTCTGTGGTGACGACGGAGCCCCCTCTGCCTGTGCCAGCCCCTCCAAACCCTCAGAGCACAGGACCCAGACCTCATGCAGGAAACAAAATTGGGTCCTTTCTAAATACAATACATAGCCAGAGCAGACCGTGCCCCAGTGTCTGTGGTGACAACGGAGCCCCCTCTGCCTGTGCCCTCCAAACCCTCAGAGCACAGGGCCCAGACCTCATGCAGGAAACAAAAGAGGGTCTCTACTAAATACAATATGTAAAAATAAGTCTCAGGTGGATTTAAAATCTTAATGTGAATTAAAATTTTAGCTTTTAGAAAGCATCGAGGGTCGGGGAGAGCACTTAAAGAAGACTCGAAGGCACAGTGTACAGGTGAAGGGCTAACACATTTAACAACACTAGCGTTTAAAAATCGCTGTGGCATCGTAAGATCCTTAAGGGAGGTGGAGAGAAACCACAGCCGGGGAAGAATATCCGAAATGGATCTAATTGACCAGAGATTAGCGTTGCTCCAGAGTATATGTCTTTTTAAAAAAATATATTTTATTGATTTTTTTATAGAGAGGAAGGGAGAGGGATAGAGAGTTAGAAACATCCATGAGAGAGAAACATCGATCAGCTGCCTCCTGCTCACCCTCCACTGGGGATGTGCCCGCAACCAAGGTACATGCCCTTGACTGGAGTCGAACCTGGGACCCTTCAGTCTGCAGGCCGACGCTCTATCCGCTGAGCCAAACCAGTCAGGGCCAGAGTATATATCTTAAGAGGCCTAAATATCTATACTAATAAAAGGGTAATATGCTAATTAGACCGGGTCAACTGGACATCTTCCGGTTGTCCAGTCGTCCTTCCAGACAAAGCCAGGGTGGCGGGGGCCGAGGTAGAGGTGGTTAGGGACGATCAGGCCAGGAGGGGAGGGCAGTTAGGGGTGATCAGGCAAGCAGGCAGGTGAGCAGTTAGGAGGCAGCGGTCCCAGATTGCGAGAAGGATGTCTCACTGCCAGTTTAGGCCCGATCCCTGCCTAAACTGGTAGTCGAACATCCCCCAAGGGGTCCCAGATTGGAGAGGGTGCAGGCCAACTCTGTGCACAAATTTCGTGCACTGGGCCTCTATTCCATAAATAAAAGGCAAACAGTCCAAATGAAAAAAATGGGCAGGAGATAGGAACAAATAACCAACAAGGCAACATGCACAGCCAAGACGTGTAAAAGGAGGCTTAACCTCATCGCAAACTAAACCCACACCTTGACCTGGCCACACAATGGTTCTTACCCTTTGGCCTTCTCACACTAACTTGCTTTTTCCCATCCCAACACTTCACCATAACCCTTCATTATGGGAGCACCCATCCCTCCCTCCCGCCTGGTCCAGCTGCTTCGGAAGGGCTTCTACCTTCTGCTCTACCCACGAGGGCACCCTGTCAGGCCTTTCGAAAAACCTCTTGAAGCCTAACAAACCCAAACTCTCATCAGATCTCCTCTTCGGAAGCCCCTCTCGGATAAACACGGCCACATTGAGTGAGCTTCCCCCGTGCTTCCTCCCCTTTCATCTCCTGGGGGCTGTCACTGTCGGGGACCAGCCCCACCTGCTGAAAGCCCCCCTCCACTCCGATGCCACCGCCTGGGTCTGATGCAAGATAGTCACAGCCCCTCACAGCTCAGATCCCTACCACAGGCCAGGAACACCACGGGCCAACCCAGCTCTGGCTTCCTGCCTCTGCTCTTCCACGCACAGCCCAGGGGAAAGAAGGCTCCGTCAGACACCAAAACACAGAACCCCCATTCCTCTCAAGACCAACAGCAGCTCTCCGCACACTGCTGTTTCTGGGACAAGGACACGGAGCCCGTCTGCAGCACACACGGCGCCTGCGTTTCCGCAGGGCCTGACGGCCACGGGCCCAGGCCTGCTCCATGCGGCTTCGAGGTCCTCCCAACCGGAATCCTTTAGAGAGGAGAGCCGCCCCTCCACACCCCACCCAGGCCGAGGCGGCCAGAGAGGAAAGGGGGCGCGTTTCCGAGCATGGCTCTGACCTCGCCCGCTGCGCGCTGCTACCCTTTGAGGCACTCGCTCTGTTTCGGCAACTGCCTTGCAGGGTTTCTGGCGACAGGCACGCCTGAAGCCAGCACAAGGCCGTGCTTAGCACTGGCAGATGGCACAGCTCTGAGCTGCCAGCCACCGGGCCTCACGGCTCTCGCACACCTTTGCTTAGGGAACTTTCTACTTAGAGAAACGATTGCAGAGATGGGGATGGGGGAGTGGGGGGCCGTAAGCCTCTCTCTTTTTAATATGTTTTTATTGCTTTCAGAGAGAGGAAGGGAGGGCGAGAGATAGAAACATCAATGAACGATGAGAAACATCGGCTGCCTCCTACTGGGGAATAAGCCAGAAACCTGGGCATGTGCCCTGAGGAACAGAACCGTGACCTGGATCACAGGGACGCTCAACCACCGAGCCACTGGCCGGGCCCAATCTCTCCTTCGTAACTGGGCGAGTCTCCTTCCTGTGCCCAGACCCGGTACCCCAGGAGTGGCTGTGCGATGCAGGGATGAGGCCAACACTGACCAACAGACCAAACTGAAACACTCCCACAGGATTCATCTTTTATTGATACTAATATGAAGCCACTTCCCAGGGGAACTGCTGTAACACGATTAGGACTTGGTTTCTAAAGGTAATAAAATACTGACGTCCTAGACAGAGCACTGGCCACATTCCTCGCAGAGAAAATGGGCTTTTCTTCTCCGGCCAGTGACGGGGTGCCTGGTGCCGCCTGCCCTGCGCGGGAGCCCCGGGCCTGCTGCGTGCACCTTCCTTCGGTCCTTCCTCTCGGCCGCACATCCCGGCTCCAAGGCGCCGGCCCATCACGCCTCCCGCTCCTCTGGGTGGGCTTGTTTCCCCGCGAGCGCTCGGGAAGAGTGAGCCTCCGTCTGGTGGCAAAGCTAGCACCAAAAGGCGCTTCTTCTCCACGCAGTAAACACGGTCTTTTTTTATTCTCGTTTGTTTTTCTAAGGAAATAAAAGTCTTAAAAGTATATGGCACTAGAGTGTGAGATTATACAGCTGCATCGGTCATAGCCCCCGGCGGCCGCCCTCAGATGTGGAGCTGGTGCGAGGCCAGCGTGTCCATGAAGGGGCGCACCAGGTTGTCGGTGGAGAAGTAGAAGATGAGGCCGAAGGCGATGGAGATGGGCAGGGCGGGCAGCGCCTTCTTGAACACGGCGA